TAGAAATGCTCTTCTACACCATAGTAATTACCACTTTGGTAATGTAGCACTTTCAACACATTATCTGGAACAGTTTTTCTCCTGAGGCTAAGGAATAAACTTAAGAGTCCTTAGAGATGTAGCAGTTGTCATCCCACCTCAGGAGATGTTCTTGATCAGATGTTAGAAGCTTGATAATGGCCAATGAATATATTATCTCTGCTAAAACGTTTGCTCTCTCTATCTCTTTAATCAGCACTTTACACCCATCTTGGCATCTGCACCTATTTCCCCACTTTCAGAGGAAGAAAGGACTCTACTTTCCTGAAAAAAGGAGCCATGCCTTTGTTTTGGGGTTGGCCGATGGGAGACAAGGGCCTTGGCAATAGTTGAAAGGGAAGGAGGAAAAGCTGCAAAAGCCATTGTGACAAGCAACTACAAAATGATCCTGCATTTTCCAGGATACGCTAACATTAATTGTAAACTGTTTTTTTAAAAAATAAAATAAAACTGTAAAAGAGTTGCCTTGTTGTTTTCCCTAAAAAAAAAAGAAGTATGAGTTCAGAAGATATTTGAATAAATAAAGCCATCCTGTGAAATAGCCTTGCCTTGCCAGATTTTGTTACAGGTGCTTTCTACACATCTCACTGTGTTTGTAAGGGGAACTACTGTATGAAGGGAGTTGTTTACACATTTTGTTGGATAATAACAGTATTTGTACTGAAATAGAAAAATAAAGACCAACAGCCAATCTTTCTACCTCTATTTCTTCTTCTCCATTGGTTGTAAAGTTATGTTTTTCACCACTGTCATACTTTTGAACAGGCACTGAAGGAAACGGTGAGGACTACCTGAAGTCAAATTACGTAGTGACAAAGCACAATATTATTCTTGCAAAATCCTCCTCAGGATGAACTCAAGCAAACCCTCGGGTGGCTTAATAGTATGTGTGAACACAAACTACAGTATCTGTTTTAAGGTGGTGGTGAGGAAGGCTTGTGGAATCTCAGTTACTGCTTTTGTGTGGAGAGACTGCTGAAAGTGACCTTAAGAGTAAGATGCAAAATTTAAAAAAAAGGTTGAACCGTGGGAGGGAGGGGGAAACCTTGCTCTTTTCAGGCAAAAGGGTTAATTTTTCACCAAGCCCAGCTGCACCTAGGCTCTAGGTAAAGTAGTTTTTATCTGATTCATTTCTATTGCCCCTGTCATACCCAATGGGCAGTGATGGATGACCCAGCAACCTCTGCTTCATCCAACTACTCCCATCCTATTTCATCTGAGCTAAATGAGAATAAATGATGTGCTTGCTCTTTCCTGTAGGCCTTGCAAAGATATCAAGCTTTAACCACCGCCTTCCCAGGCAGGCTTGCTGGTGGAGCAGGGGAAACATTTCTCTTTTCCCTGACAAGGGCAAGATGGCCATCTGAGAAGGGCTCAGCGCACTGCTTTAGGTAATAAGGGTACGAATTAAGGATTGTGCAATGTGGACCACTGCAGGAGAATATACTATGCCAGGAAGCCTAGAATTAAACCAAAAGCAAGTTTGCCTGGAGAAAAGACTGAGCAGAAAATAACAGATTACTTCATCACATGTGTAAACAGCTCTTCACATGAAGGAGAACATGTAGCAGTGGTGAGTTCCGGCCGGTACGCTCCGGTACGGACGTACTGATGGGAACAGCGGTCACTGTACCGGAACAGTGTTTTGGTGTGCCCATCCGCCCGCCCGTGTTCCTTACCTGCTTTTAAGCCAATTGGGTTATTTGTGCATGCGCACTCAGCATATGGTGCCTCTATGACCTCTACGGAGCAGCTGGAGCATTGCAGGGCAGTGGGTGTGCCTGCATGCGCAGTGTGCATGCTTGAGGTGGACGCCCGGCCCCGTTGCACTGTAGCAGTTGCGACAGGATCCAGAACCCACCACTGACATGTAGTATTGTACACCCCCCCCCCCCCGAAAGTTTTTAAATTGAAAATAATCCTTTGTCCACCAAATATTCTGTGCTGGCCAGAATAAAGCTGCAACCTGCAACATGGAGAGAAATTGTACTTATATTGTACTGGGAGGGAAAAAATGAATGTAGATGAGATTTTTTTGTGTTTCTTTCCTTGCCACAGCAGATGGCAGCTTCTGACTGACCTTAGTTAAAATTAAAAAGCTAAATAGAGTCAGATCTGGTTAGTATTTGGATGGGAGACCACCAGAAAATCCCAGAGACCATAACTATCCTAGCTAAAAAACTTCTTGACTAAAGACCATGTCAGGCCATTTCTGTATGGTTTCCTTGGAAAGAGAAATGGCTTACCACTGAGGTCCAGAAGAACCAAATAAAGACATCAATAATTTGGACATCAGGAAGCTAGATCCTAAGGGCCTGAGGGCGAGTGCCACATCCAGACTCAAAATCCTAAAAGACAAGCTCAATTCGTATGAGAAAGTCTAAAGATATGATCCTGAAATCATAGGTACAAACTACCCCAGTAAGGCAGAAAAATGAGGGGGGAAATAATTAAGAGAGTCTGTGAATAAAAATGCTTAGCAAATTGAGAAAGAAGCTGAGCGAAGACAGTAGCTAAGGTGGGGTCCAAACCAGAGGTGGGTTGCTCCCGGTTTGGCCCGGATCGGGCAAACCAGTAGTAACAGCAGCGGAAGGCTCCGCCCACCTGCCCAGACGCCTCTGCACATGTGCAGAAGCATTGTATGCGCAAGCATGCGAGCGAACAGGTAGTAAAATATTTGGAAATCCACCACTGGTCCAAACTGCAGTGGAGATGGAATCATGGAAGCCACAGTTCAGAAAATGCCGACACTGGTGAGGACAGCAAAATATAGTTAGGTTTTTGGCGAGGGATTCGATGTGGAGGTTGCCCATTGTAAAAGAAGAGAGAGGGGAGCCCTTTTGTCTCTTGCCCCGGAAAGGAGGGTCAGGAATACAGGAAACCCTCAGATTAGGTCCATTTGTTTAACAACTATTTTGAAAAGCAGCACTGAAAAAAAATGAATGTACCACCGGTACATTCAAACTTCCAGCATTGCAGCATCCCCACAGTCATGTAATTGTGAGTCAGCCATTCAGGGGCCTGACTTGCAATTATGACATCACAGGGAGGTGTGTTCACATCTTTACCATTTAGGACTTTCACTGCCAGCTTTCCACAAACAAAGTCAAGGGGGAAGGAAGGTAGCAGCAGGGAAGATTGCACGTTGCTTTGGTAAGTTGCTCCTGCAGCTTCTTCTCTTCTTCACATCTGCCTGTAGTCTACACTGCTCCCCCACTCCCCAACAGTTCTCCTGCACTCCAAACCTCCTTGACTTACAACCACAGTTGACCCCGAAATTTCCATTATGACGCTCTCTCCATTTCCCATTCATTCATTCCCTAGATCAGGGGTGGGCTACTATGGCCCCCTATTGCTTCATTATGACCAACTGGCTAAAGAATTCTGGGAAATTAAGTCCCCAGGTCATAAAGGGGCAATTGCTTTTTCAGGAGGCAACTGGACTTTGTTTTTTCTTTTGAAGACGTTTCGCTTCTCATCCAAGAAGCTTCTTCA